GGACTACAGGCGTGTACCACCATGCCCTGCTAATTTTGTACTTTTAGTAGAGACAGGGTTTCACCATGTTGGCCAAACTGGCCTCAAATTCCTGACCTCAGGTGATCTGCCTGCCTCAGCCTCCCAAAGTGCTTAGACTACAGGCATGAGCCACCGCGCCCAGCCCAACATCTACATTTCTAAGAAAGATTAGGTCATCAAATTTTTTAAAATATCCATTGCATGGAACTTAGCGACACTAAAGATATTGTAGTATTGTAGAGGGAACCCCTCACCACATACACGATTCACTTCTGGAGAGGTGCTAAGATCTTGTACATTTAAATACCCTGTTACTCGGTCATTATGTATTTTCTTAGTGTATGCAGCATGCAGGGACCTCGCCAGGCACTGGGGATAGAGTGGTGCACTGGTGGTCCCTGACTTCCTGTCACTAGCCATCACTCTGGTAAACTTGCAGTAAGTCTCTGACATTGTTGAATTCTCAGTATTCACTACTCAGGATCTAGATGGTAATTAAGCCAGCGGTGTGCAGAATGAGGATAAAAGAGTTGGAACAGGACTGTAATTTACTTGTACTATATTGGATCTAGACCTCTATCAAAAACAGAGGTTAGTATGCATACTGGAAATGAAATTTTCCAAGGAGTTAGAGATTTTAGAATCCTAAGGACTTGTCAACTTTGGTAATTTTCATAGATGACATTAAAAATTTGTTTGGCTGATCACTCCCTGCCCAGCCAGGGGTTAAGCTTACTGTAAGTTACAGAAGGAGGGTAACCATTCACAGACAGGACAGGCACCAAACTCCAGCCCATACCAGCACTGTGAGATCACCAGTGATAGCAAGTAAACAGAGTCTGTCCAGCCCAGCCTGGATTCCATCAGCCCTGCCGATTCATTGCAGCTGGACAGCAGAGCCAGCTAGCTACTCAAAACATTGTTGATCCCTTGGCCACCAGGACCAGTGGAGACATGACACTGGCTCCAGCAGGGATGGCTCACTTCTGTAGAACTGGGCGCCCTCTAGAGGGCTTTCCCCCTGGGTATGAGGACTCACCTGGACAGGGTCTGAGTCAAGTGCTGACTCTGGGAGGAAAGGACTCTTGGGAAGAAGACACAGATACCCTGTCATCCCCACAGAAATCAGAAAAGGATAGCTCTTGTACAACTGAGGTGCCTGGGAGGGAGGAAGGGCCTGCACTGATATGAGCAGATGGCCAGCACCTCACCAGCCACTTGTTTGCCCTGGTTTATTTACTCAGGCAGCTTTCCGGGCTCCAGAGGTAAATTGCCAGCTGTAAATTTCTGGCCCTTCTCCAAGATAGTAATAAACTGTATTTGAAGTGGCAGAGAGTGATGCATGAGTCATTTTTGTTTACTCAATGGCTGCTTGAGTATATGTCCTGTGTGGGTAACTTTATATGGAAAATAAAAAGGAATTGGTGTAGTACTAACTGCTGTCTAGAATCACTTACTGGTTATATTGGAATAACATGCTATGAATTAAAGTTAATAAAGCACCACAGAGAGACATGGGAAAATAGAGGTAGAAGAGACAAGTGTTTCCCACCCGTCCACTGTATGTATTGGTCTTGCAATGAATGACCCAGATGTTATGGTAACCAAGGGTGACACCAGCTGAGGTAGACAGATGAGCAGGTGCCCTGCTTATATGATCATAACTTAGTTCAATTTTTAATAAGTTGACATTTTGAACATTTTTCATGTTTAGAAAAATTATCTATTCAAACAGCAACCCAGCAAGCTCTTCCAACATGATCTAGCTCAGCAGTCTCCAAACAGGATGCCCCTGAGTTGTTCGAGACATTTTTAGGGTGAGAAAGAAGATAGCAGAGTTTATATTTTTGTTGATTTTTAATTTTTTTCCTTAAAATTTCAGTATATTTCATAAGATACACCCATGTTAGTACAGTAGTATGCACATATTATTTATAAATAAACTGGACTAGCCAGATGTTGTGAGACACGCCTGTAATCCCAGCTACTCAGTAGGCTGAGATGTGAGAATTGCTTGAGATTGGGAGGTGGAGGCTGCAGTGAGCTGAGATTGTGCCACCGTACTCCAGCCCGGGGTGACACGGCGAGACTCCGTCTCAAATAAATAGATAAATAAATAAACTGGAGATGCCTGTTTAGCAATATATATATTGATCAGGATGCATGATCAAAAAAGTTTGGAGGCTGCTAATCCAAAAATAGAAAATTTACAAATATGGATCCATCTCCAAAACCACCAAGGAATAAATAAAACCTTGAGATATTTGGGATTTTCATGCCATGAATTTAAGAAACCTGACGAGGAACTGTATCCCGCTTGATATCCAGCGTGTCCCCCACCTCCGCCCCCTGCTTCTTCCCAGTGGCCAGAGCTGACTCTCCTTCCGGCCCATATTCTCAGTCATGACTGCAGGCTCTTTGCTTCCTCTTCTTCCACAGGAGCTTCTATCAGCCTTTATTTTCTTTAACCTCTCTTCCTCCTGGATCAGTATATCTTCAAATTGCCTTACACCAAGATAGACTCCTTTCCCAACCTCTTGATTTAACCACTTTTCAATAAAAGATGTGTCCAAGGCT